AGAGAGAGAGAGAGAGAGAGAGAGAGAGAGAGAGAGAGAGAGAGAGAGAGAGAGAGAGAGAGAGAGAGAGAGAGAGAGAGAGAGCAGGGGGCATAGCTACATGCAGTATACATGGCAGGCTAAACTTGATATTTGAAATTTGAATGTTTACAGATCATTAGAAAAAAGGCATAGCATGAGAACAATCGTATGGAGTTTTCAACACTGGGAGAGCAGTGGTTTGTATTTTGAACCCCCACTGCAAGGCCATTGAATTGGATCTGGGACTGAACCATCGGATTGAAACTGGGAAGGGACCATTCCACTGAAACTGGGATTGGGATTGAAAGGACCTTGTAGTCTTGCAAGTCCCAGATCCTGATCTGGGCATCAGAGGTGCAGCCAACAATAGCATGACCGATCCCCGGGCTTGTAGCGAGCGCTGTTATGTCCTTGACTGTGTGTTCAGACAGCTGCATGAACATGCCAGGCAACACACACCAAGCAGAGTAGCATCAGTAGAATAATTAATTTTAAAAACAAGAGCCAACTATGCGGTGAATGAAAATGAGTTCCGATTCTTCCGAAGGGGAAAAAACAAAAAAAATCACGCACCGGCAGGTTGCTCACATGCCAAGTTTGTAAACAATCGCAAAAATGACAAAGTACACATACTACACACACGATATCACACATGCTGAGCACGTAATTATCGTAGCTAAAAACGGCGAAGCAACAGATTCAGAAAAAGAAAAAAATGCTTCAGCACAATAGCTTGCAGTGGTGGCGAATTCAACGTGTCTGCCCTTTGCTAAGCATCACCCCCAAGACATCGCCCGAGTCCTAAACCAACTAACCACTCGCCCCTCATTCGAGTAGCACCCATGGCCAAATTGGCCAAGGTTACGGGGTATAAAGCACTCCGACTCCTCGCCGCTTGCTTTCAGCAGTTGCTGGATGGCGAGAAGCGGCAGCGGTTGGCTTCTAGGAACCTCGACCGAGAAGCGGTTACGAACAGCCACTATCTGACCGCGGCCACCGGTTCCAGGCGATAACCGCCGAAGGCAGGGCACAAGTACAGGTGTCAATCGGGGAGTTCCCTACCTCTACACTGGCCGTGTTTTTTGGTACCTTCAGTTTTGGAGACTGACCTGTTTTGGTGTGCCTTTAGTTCTTAGAACTCGCATAAATTCTGTCGGATAGGTAGATTTAGTTTTATTTTCATTTATGAATTATGCGGTTGCCCGAACGACGGGAGCCCTGCGTTTTTCTGAGTCCGCTTTTCCCCTGGTTGGCACGATCGTTCGGGCGGACAGAAGTTTATTTATTTACTTTATGTATTTTGCGATTGCCCAGGCCAGAACCCTGAGGTCCTCGAGCCCGAATTTTCCCCTGGTTGGCAAGATCGTTCAGACTGTCGGAAGTTTACTTTAGTTTATTTATTTATTTATTTATTTGCGTATGAGTTACCAGTCCCTAGCAGCGGTCCTGGAACGGTATGCAGAACCTGTGTAGGAACTTCCTGGGAATGGCTAGATGACACACGGAATGGCAGCAGGATATATATGAGTGAGAGGCAAGGCGCCTGGCCTCTTTTCGACTGAAGTGCAATAGCACACCTTCCTGAAGATTCCGCCGAGCGAGCGGATGAAACTGGTAGAGGGATTTGCTCTGTCGATGGTATAGGGAGAACTGGCTATGGTGACACGCTCCAGTGTTGGGTACAAAGTGAGATCACAGTCTTAAATGAAGTTTGAACTCAAAAGGGCAATAATTTTTCAGACTGGTCTTTTGAGTTTGTTCTTTGAGTCTGTGTTGACTTCTAGTGTACATGGCACGAGCGAGCTGCTCACTGTGTCTCCTGACAGACTATTGCCGCAGTCTGCCTTAGCACCCATGGACTGTCGTATGACCGCCCATGCTGCTCTCCCAATCCTGTTGCGAAAGAGGATTAGCTCGTAGACCAACTGTTCCTATACACTACTTCGACAAGGAAACACCCACGACATACAAGCCACATCTGAGAAACCACAAAAATCCACAAAAAAAATCGCAAAAAAAAAAAACGCCAAAAAAAAACTGAGAAAATCACGACAACTTCAAGAGTTCATTCGTCAATTTCCAGATCCCGTCTCGTTGCTTCGCGAAGGTGTCGACCACCTTCGAGAAGAAACGGTCCGGGAAACCCTTCGCGTGATACTCCTGCCTCAACAAAATCACTTGGACCGGAATCTCAGCCCCATCCGTTGTGGTCCTCTCCATCCTGTGCAGACTCCCTGCGACCGCAGCTACCTTTTGCTTGCGGTTCGTCCAGGATCAGAAGTCCTGGCCTGTTCGAATGACCAGAGGTTGTTTTGAGCAGATTGACCCCTCACTTTTTTTTTTCTTTTTTCTTTTTTTTTAACAAGTCCTTAATACTCCTTATGGCCCTGGCTCCATTTCCATTCTGGGGAGCATCAGTCCGGTTCCTATTCCACCGGCAAGTCAGAAAAAATAATTACATCATATAACACCCTCACGCTTCCTTCCGTCTGGCCGAAGGAACCCTGATCAGCATTGATTACTCCAACATCGTGGAGGATTGACTGTAAGCTTGCCCTGCTTCCATCTCTCCTCTCAGGACTACTATAAGAGCCTGTCAGATAAAACATAAATAGCAAGAGAGGTCTAAGCAGCTGCAACCGCTTCCAATCTCTATGTACACCCTAAGTCCCGCATATGAGCCTCGTGAGATCTCTAACATTCTCACCCCTGCTCGTCTTGTTTCTGTCCACACCCTCCAGCTAAAACCCTAAACCCTAAGCCTTAAACAAAATTATTCTTTACCATCTGTTCCACACGAGCCATCGGCTGCCGTCTGCCGTGCGTGTGTCTTGGATGCTCTTCCAGGCCCAAAACGGAGCTGGCTCCATGTGTACCTGGGTCTTCAGCTGGAATACAGACTAGACATAATTGATTTTTTCTATTTTTTATTTTCTTCCAAGAGCACCGTCTGATCTAGGCTCAACGGAACTTACGTTGCTCTGAAATCCTGTTGCTCCTCCTGGTCTGGAGTTGTCCTCCTCATGTACCTTCCTGGGCAAGCTTGGCGCCAGGCACATAGAGAAAGACCGGAGGGGAGGCACGTCCTTTTTTCCCCGAGCTGTGGAAGTGTGGCGGGGGAGCGGGGAGAGTGAAGAAGCGGGGGAAGAGGGCGGAGGAGGGCGGCAGGAGCAGAGAAGTCGTGGAGGATGAGCCGGAAGTTAGTTTGGGGTCTCTCTCTCTCTCTCTCTCTCTCTCTCTCTCTCTCTCTCTCTCTGTGCTGCGCGCTGTTTTTCCGTGTTTTTTTTTTTTTAATAAAGATCTTCCGATGGTCCACGGGTCAGAGATCAAACTGATCGGAACAGATACTACACTTGATCGCCATCGTCGTCGTCGTTTTGGGGGGCGGGATAGTTAGTTAGTTTGGGGTGTGTTTCTCTCTCTCTCTCTCTGGTGCACGCGCACGTGCGTGCGCCGTCTTTCAAACTGAACGGAACAGATACTATACTTGATCGTCACTCTCTCTCTCTCTCTCTCTCTCCCTCCCTCTTGTGTGCGCGCGCCGATTTTCAAACGGATCGCAACAGATACTACACTTGATCGTCATCGTCGTCGTCGTTTTGGGGGCCGGAGCAGTTAGCTAGTTTGGGGTCTCTCTCTCTCTCTCTCTCTCTCTCTCTCTCTCTCTCTCTCTCTCTCTCTCTTGTGTGCGCGCGCCGATTTTCAAACGGGTCGCAACAGATACTGCACTTGATCATCATCGTCGTCGTTGTTTTGAGGGGGGGCGCAAGTAGTTTGATTGGGGTCTCTCTCTCTCTCTCTCTCTCTCTCTCTCTCTCTCTCTCTCTCTCTCTGTGTGTGTCTGTGTGTGTTTGCGTCGTGCGCTGTTTTTCCGTTTTTTTTTAATATAAAAAATCTCGCAATGATCGGAACAGAAACTACACTTGATCGTCATCGTCGTCGTCGTTTTTTGGGGGGGGGACACTTGATGGTCATCGTCGTCATTGTTTTGGGGGGCGGG